ATTTAGTCATGATTTTAATATATTCAATATATATTTTTTCCTCACCTAGTGCACAAGCCGTGTTCCTGGGGCTACCATAAATAAAAGGTCGCTGTCCCCATCATATGAGCCCTGCCCCGTACTCCAATCTCGTGATGATCCTTCCCTATATGAATTAAAAGGAGGAAGATGGCACTGTTCGAATGGCAAAGGTCTCCCACAGACTTACATGTTAAGGTGCAGGTCCGCAGCTGGAAAGGCTGTGTGGAGAGTCTGTGAATTTTCTTGGGAGGGACCGAGCTAGAGAAAGTGAATCACTGGGTGGGCCCATGGAGGCATCTTGTCCCTAGCCCCTTCTCTGCTTCCTGCCTGTGCAGAAGTGAACAGTCTCTGCCACACACTCCCACAGTGTTGTGCCCAGGGTTAAGCAGAACCTTCAGAAATGAAGCAAAATACGCATTTCCTCTTTTAAAGTTACCCGTGTTAGGTATTTGGTGACACCACAAAGTGACAAACACAGGAACTAGAGCCAGTTCGGCCTGTATCCTGAGAACCCAGCACAGTGTTGAGCATGCTCGAAACTGCTCTGAATCATCCTTTGAGGGCATGAGTAAAAGCCCAGCCGGGGAGTTCCTTTGAGGGCGTGAGTAAAAGCCCAGCCGGGGAGCGAGAGGGGGCTCTGTCTTCTTTCCCTCACTTTCTCCAGCCAGGAGATGCTTTCTATTTACTGAAGTGGATGAGCCATCTTTTCAGAAACAGAGAGGTTGGATCCAGAGTAAACTCCCTTTAAACATTTTGTTCACAAGTAATAAGTGTGTGTTTCCAAGTGCATAAATTGTGATTTTCAACCCCAAACTCCACTGTTTTGCAGCCACGTGACATTGGGCAAGTTGCTGAATGCTAAGCCTGCCAATCCTTATCTGGAGAGGGGAACTCTGCGAAGAATCTAGATGGTGTCTGTGGAGAGTCTAGACAGCATCTGTGTCTGTGAAGAGTCTAGACGGCGTCTGTGTCTGTGAAGAGTCTAGACAGTGAATGTCTGTGAAGAGTCTAGACAGTGGGTGTCTGTGAAGAGTCTAGACAGTGAATGTCTATGAAGAGTCTAGACAGTGGGTGTCTGTGAAGAGACTAGACAGTGGGTGTCTGTGAAGAGTCTAGACGGCGTCTGTGAAGAGTCTAGACAGTGGGTGTCTGTGAAGAGTCTAGATGGCATCTGTGAAGAGTCTAGACAGTGGGTGTCTGTGAAGAGTCTAGACGGCGTCTGTGAAGAGTCTAGACAGTGGGTGTCTGTGAAGAGTCTAGACGGCATCTGTGTGCAGTCCAAGATTCAGGGCCCTGTCTCCTGGTGACCTCGGCTTTCTATAAGAGAAGTAGCCTTGCCCCTCAGCCTCTGGCTCAGTAGTTAAACAGGATCTAAGATGTGATAATACACCTGAGCAAGCCACTGTGAGCAGTGCTGAGGGAGGAGCTCCCTCCTCCCTGGACATAAACCCCAACTGTGTAAGGGCTCCTCCAGCTCTCCAACAGTGACAAGGAGCTTAAAATGCCACTAGCTCCAAGAGAACAAATCAAAACAGGCCAGACACTAGATCCTGCTACCAAAGCTGGAGTCACAACTCCAGATCCAGGGGCTCTGACACACATGTTACACATACACACGTTGGCAAAGCATCCATACAAGTAAAATAAAATAGAAAAATAGTCGGGGTTTGGGAGTTCCTCACACAACAAAATTAAAAGGTTTTCTGAAGCTGGAAAGATGGCTCAAGGGTTAAGAACACCTGTTGCTCTCTCAGAAGACCCAGGTTTGGTCCCCACTATCACAAGGAATCAACTCAGGCCGATCATTAACTCCAGGGAATCCAACGCCTCTTCACACCTCTTCAGGCCCCAGCGCACATGCAGGAGACAGACATACATGCGGGAAAACATTTAATTATTTAAGATTAAATAAATAAATCTAAAGAGAAAGTTTTAATGTTTCAAGGGTGGGGGAAGCTCTGCAAAGATGAAAACACACGTGGTTCCCAGAAAATGTGTTATCTGTGGTGTCTGTTCAGCACTGCAGGGGAAAGTTCCTGCCTTCGTGCAGGGATCCCACGCTTTGTCCCTGACTTCTGCCTCCGCTGTCCTCCCATGACATCCTCCAGGATGGGAAGAATGAGGACAAACGCTGTCACCACCTCCTAATCCCATTCCCTGACAGAAATCACTAATTGACCACAGCCCCCTCTCCTGCTGAGCCTGGCCCCATCTTTCTAGGCAGTCACTACCAATCAATTAGAGATGACATGCAAAATGAAACCCACTTGTCTGGCTCCAGCCTCGCAGCTGGCCAAGTTTTTCCACGAAGAAGGAAATCTCTACCAAACATTCTTCTTTGTGCTTGATTTTATTCACATCCCTTTAAATACGGGAAAACGTAGCTTTTGGTTAAAGCTCCTTGCTAAGCCTTGAAGCCAGCCTGGAGGGCTACGGAGAACAAGGCACCATCTTAGCTCCCTGCAGGATCCTGTGGACAACAGTGGAATATTGGGAACGCTGACCCCGAGACGGCCAATCAGATCACCTGAAAAGTGATAGCGAGATTTAAGGACAGGAGGTTTCCTATTTTCATCGGAGTCACTGAGACCCACACCAGAAGAAAACCATACTCTCGGGGGGGGGGGGGGGCTGGCTACGGCAGTGGTTCTCGATATGTGGGTCATGACCCCATGGAGGGGGGACGTCACACAGCAGATTACAATTCATAACAGTGGCGAATATGAGTAGCAGCGAAAAATTTTATGGTTGTGGGGGGGGGGTCACTGCAATACGAGGAACTGTATTAAAGGGTTGCAGCACTGGGAAGGTGGAGAACCACTGGACTAGAGGGTCAGGCTGGTCATGGCCCTACCCTTCTCAAGCTTGCGAGACAGGCTTCCACCCCATGGCCAGGCTTATGGGAGAGCTAAGCAGAGAGGAGTTTGAGGTGGCTCATCTGCCTCTCACAGCTGGAATCTCATAATTGGCTCTCACAATGGTGCCTCTGAACTGGCGTGGTTCTCATGTCTGTGAGTCCAGAATGTGGTGTACGGAAGCAGGGGGAAGTGTGAGTCCATAGCTTAGCCTCAGCTACAAAACAAATTGGAGCTAGGGCTACTTAAGATCCAGAGAGAGAGAGAGAGAGAGAGAGAGAGAGAGAGAGAGGAAGAAGAAGAAGGAGGAGGAGGAGGAGGAGGAGGAGGAGGGGAGGGAGGGAGGGAGGGAGGGAGGGAGGGAGGGGAAGAGAGAGCGAAAGGACACATGGAAAACTAAAGTGGCATTCCCTCTCTTGAATCTCCAGCACTCTCTGATGCTTTAATGATAATGAATTATTAAGTACAAAGATGTGTTTAGTTCTCCTCTTTATTATTCTCCATATTTAATTCTGGCTTGAGTGAAAGAGACTGAATTTTGCTTGACTGATATTAACGTATTCATTCAACAAACATCTCTCTAAACCCAGAGTCCCCACCTCACCCCTTCCCCAGTCCTGGCATGCAGGAAAATTGACACAGTGAAGAGTGAGAAGAGGTGTCTGCATGAAACAAGGCCAGCCACCTGGGAGGGGTGTGCCCAGGTTCTGATGTGGCCCTGTGGTAGCATCTGGGATACAAGATCCAAGAGATACAAGAGTTGGCAGGAAGGAGGGCACCCGGAGGTGCAGAGGCTGTGGTGAGATGGAGCATGGTTGTGTGTGTTCTTGGAGTCAGGGTTTTTTTCTGGAAAGCTTCTGAGACTCCTATGGAGGAAATCAGCCAGACAAACAGGCTTAGATTTTTGTTTTCAGAATGACTGTCCACGGGATGGAGAATGAACTGGAGCAAGGAGGTTCTGATTGGGAGCAACGAGGCAGCTGGAAAGGCAACCGCAGCAATTCAGGCAAGAAGGAAATCAATCAACACCCACAAAAATAAGCAAGGGTCACATTCACTTGTTCCCTACCTAACCACCCGGCTTGAGGGCTACATCTTATCGGCACAGCACCCCTGAGGTAGCTCCTTTTCCTATCGACAACCTCCTTCTTGCGTCAGGAACCACAGAAGAGGCCAAGGGAGGCTGGTGGGTAGGTGCTGCTCTGGTCTGAGACAGAACTCAAATCTATCAGGTCTGGTTGCAGAGCCAGCTGGGAACGTCCACAGGGGTGTTGCCTTGGGTGTCTGGATACTGAGTTACATCTTCTCTACCCCAACCCCACCCTCGCATCTGTGCGAACCCCTCTCATCTTTTCTCCACCACTCCATCCTACCCGCCTTCCTTTGCAGTCCCTGGCATCATTGCCTTGGCCATGAAACGCAAGCCTCTCCCAGTTGGAGTACAAACCCTCAGGAACTTTGCCTATTCGGCCTGCCATACCAACCCCCCCCCCCAATACCCCCTCGCAGCGTGCGCGCCAGCAACCCTGCTCCTGGTAACACGGTGCCATACGTTCTTTTCAAATAGTCAGCACCAGGAAAACTTTGAACAGAGGCTTGTGTGGTTTCCTTCTCAGAGAGCTGAACCTTGGCAGCCCAGCTTCTGTGTGACACACTAGTAGCCAGCAGAATGGAACCTGCATCTTCCGTGGGGGACTGACGTTTAGGGACACAGCATCCCTTAGCCATCCTGGCCTGTGGCCTCAGACAAACCCACCCTCAGGAAGAGTCAAACGGAGTCTTCTCCCTCTCCGTGCCTCTCCTCCGCACCCCCCCCCCCTCCCCAGCATGAAAGTTAGAGCAAGCATCTGCAAGGAGAAACTTGTATACTGTTTCCTGCGGACAAGGAGACCTCCTGCCCCTCCCGGGCTGATACAACCCACTTTGCACATCCTGCTTCTCCAAAGCTAAAAATAAATCGGTATGCACTGAAAACTCTCGAACGCGTCTCTCCCAGCACACACTTCCCCAGCCCCGCGAGGGCCACACATGAGAATCTTTGGCTCCAAAACGCAGCGGATCGCTGCCTCAGCTTCCAGCGGCGCCTGGCGCAGTCCTCAGCCCCCTCCCCAACCACCCACCCACCTCGGGATAAGGCTTCCAGCGGCGGTTTTTCACTGCCGACTCTGCAGGCCCGCAACGGACCGATACCGACGCCCCTGGTCCGGGTTGGGGATGCTCGAGACCTGTCCGGACCGCCAGGCTCGCTAACGCCCCCTTTCGAGCCAGCGCGCTACGCCGGGTCCCCTGCAAAGTTGCTTTCTCCTCCCCCAGCCACCAGCCTGGCGGAGGGCGGGGGACTAAGGACTTAAAGCTTGCTGGTCCCTGCTAGGCGCCGGCGTGGGGGTTGACACTGATAAGGTGGGTGGCACCTAGGGAGGAGCAGCAAGGACCCGGTGCTGGGGGCTCCGCGATCACCTGCATCCCCTGCTCCCGCTGCACCCGAGAGCGCCTCTTCCCCAGTCGCTCCCCAGCTAACCCGCCCAGCTGCGGCTCCCGCTCCGGGCCAGCGGAGGGAAGGCGCTGCAACTCACCGCCTCTGCCGCTCCCAGCGTCTGTGTCGCCACGGGCGAGGCGGCGGCGCCTTCCCTCCTCCCGCCTCCCCCTGGACAGCACCGCCGCAGCCGCGCCCCCCTCCCCAGCCACTCTCGCCGACCGCTCCCCAAAGCAGCCGTGGCCTCTCCGTGGGATGGGGCTCGGCAGCCCGGGACCAGTCGGAGCTGGGAGGCACAGGTGCAGCGGCAGCCCCGCCTTGCCCTGGTGCAGTCTCCGGCCTCAGCCCGGGTTGCCTCGGACCCCAGCCCACCACCCAGGCTTCCAGTCAAGCACTCTCCAAAGGTTTATCTGTTATCTGTTCGAGGGCTGGGGATGTCAGATTCAACCTAGAATCTCTCCCAAGCTTGCAATGGTAGGCATGGTGTCCCTGTCATCTCTCAGTATGTTCAAGGAATCCTCGAGAACCTTTTCCAACCGCCATACACACACAAAAACAAGCCTCTCTGGCACCCATATGTCCACGAGGTGGGATGGCTTCACCTTCTCGCTGACCTGTTCTCTACTCGGATATCTCTGTCAAGCGATGGCTTAGCAAAACCTCAGCACAGATGGACAGCGAAGGGGCCCCTTACACACCCTCACACTGCTGGATGTCGCCAGCCTCTCCATCTGAAGACAGTGAGCCCCAAATGTCTTGACAATTCGTTCACCCTGTATTTGTCGGGTGCCCTGTATTTGTCGGGTGTTGCGCTGGCTACTCATGACCTCGGGAAAAAGCAACTATAACTTCTCCTGTTTGGCAACACAGGTGACTCTTCTTCAATTAAAACAACAAACAAACAAAAATAACTCAGCGAAAAATAACTGAGCAGTGAAAGCACAGTGACCTGGCCATGCATGTTAGCAAGACTGCAGCCATATTATGATGAGAGAAATGGCATTACCAGCTGTGGCGATATCTCAGCCAGGAAAGGACTTGCCAGGCCAACCTGAGGACCTCAGTTCCCCCACCAGATCCAGTGCCAGGGGGAGGTGGTGTGGGTTTGTGCACTTAGACTGGGAGCTGAAGACAGGCGGATTCCTGGGGCACAATGGCCAAGGAACCCAGTCTAAAGAGCATGTCCCAGGCCCGTGAGAGACAGGCAGGTGGACAGTGCCTGAGGAATGACACCTGAGGTTGACCCCTAGCCTCTGCCCATACACTTACACACACACACACACACACACACACACACACACACGCACACACATGCACACACGCACACACACACACACATGCAGGACAGGGGACACTTTAGGTCCAAGCAGTCACATATGCTAATGAACATCAGTTAAAGAGTTCCTCTAACCAAAACCGTTATTCCTTGGGTCCAGTTAAATTGAAAAGCAAATCGAAATTCAAATCTTTGCCTAGAGTGGATTTAGTGATAAACCCAACACTTTAGACAAGTGCCAGAGTCACCTGGAATTGGATTATTTGTTTGTTTGCTTGTTTGTTTAATTTTAATTTTTAAAAACTAGTCCTGGACCTTACCCCCACCCCAAGAGATTCTGTGACTCAGGGCTGTGACCCAACATGGATGTGTTTACAAGACAGCTGTGCAGATAGGATTGGTAGTCACCATAGGATCAGCCAATCAGAAAGCAGAACCAGAGACAACTCTAAAACACAGTTTTGAGGCCAGGAAAGGTCTCCGCCGCTATTGCAAACTCAAATGTCCCTAGAGATTAAAAAAGGTGATGAATATGTGACCTAAGGTAGGTTTACAGAGGCAGACGGGCGGGGTGGGGGGATGGGGACTGCTATGATTTGAGGATGTTCCTTAAAAGTTTGTTCCAACTGCAATTGCTAGGCAGTGTGGCAATTTGGGAGGTGGGATCCACTGGGAGGGGTTAGGATGGGTCAGGGAGCCCTGGCTTTTCTAGTTAGCACCTCTTGCCCGTCTGGTTTTCCTACCATATGCTGAAGCCGCACGTGGCCCTCACGGAGGCAATTGTGTCTTGGACTTTCCAGCCTCCAGAACCAAGAGCCAAGATAAACCTTTTTCTTTACAAATTACTCAGTCTCTGTAATTCTGCTATGGCAACAGAAACAAACGAAGCAAGGCACCACGGTTTTGAAGAGGGCGGCCTCATTTTTCCATGTGAGAAATGCATGTCTGGTGTGACCATCTTTTTTTTTTTTTTTAATCTTATTTTAGTTTAGGTTTGAGTTTTTCCAGAGAAGTCAGAAGTTCATTTTAATGTGCTTTTTTTTCTAATTTTAAAGTAATAATTTATTTCAAGGTATTTTCAAGCTATGTAAGCAAAAAGAAGGGTTTGGAGGCCACAGAATGTCCCCTGGTCATCAGCTCATCTTCTGTGGCCTCTGTGGTCCCAATAAACCCTGACAGCACAGGCAGATGGAAGGTGGTTATGACTGAAGCAGGGATTTATCTGAGAGAGAGATTTTTATCCATTTTGTAATTATTTAATGGTTTTGTGGTTTTGACTTTTAAAAAAGCTTTATTGGAATGCAGTGAAGAAGTCCCTTCTTATCTGAGGTTTGCTTCCTCTAGTCAAAGTCAACCCAGCCTCAAAGTGTTGAATGAACTATGTAAGTTTTTGGTTGCAGCTGTTCTGAGGTCTAGGTGAAAAGCCGGTCCTTCGCCCAATGTATCCAGGCTGTCGACAGAATTCGGCAGTCACTTGTCAGGTCAGTGCCACCAGTGTCACAGCCCCTGTGTGGCCCCTTCTGCCCCACAGTGCAGGAAGTTTGAGGAAGAGGAGGCAACAGGCATAAAACATGGATGGGGTCACTGATTGGGTCTATGGCAACGCTTGGAGACATGCAGAAGATGTGGGGTATACAGGATTCAATAACCTCTGAGCTTCCAGGCTTCTACCAGGAGTCAAGGGACACAGCTCCGAGGGCACAGAGTTATTCCGATGCCATAGTAATCCTCATTTAAGCATTTTTTTCATAGATGCACAGAATTATATAACCAAATCCACAATCAAGTTTAGAGTTAATCTCATCCACACCCTCCCATCCAAAGAGATCTCATACCTGTTAGCTCATATTTGCTTTTTGCTTCCAATCCTTAGCCCCTGTTAGTCACTAATTCATTCCTTATATAGAAATAGATTTGTCTGTTGTGGGCATTTCATATGGATGAAATTGTGCCTGGCTTCTTTTACTTAGCATAACATTCTCAAGGTTCTTCATTGCTGTAATGTATCAATATTCCATTTCCTCCTCCTCTTTTCTTTCTTTTCTTCCTTTTGTTGTATTATTTTTTTTTAACATGGGTTCTCACTACGTAGCTCAGTTTGGGCTGGAACTCACTATGTAGACCAGGCTGGCCTCAAACTCAGAGAATCCACTTACCTCTGCGTCCTGCATGCAGAGTCTCAGGTGGAGGGAGAGCGGAACCACAACCCATTCGGAAACACAAAGCTAATGTGGCCAGAGCTTAAAGGATGTCTTGGGAATCTCTAAAGAGCAGAGCATGTGCATTAGGCATTAGCACCATAGAAGAGAGAGAAAGGGGCCGGGAACCTGGTCTGAGAGCAGCAGAGCGGGAATGGGGCGGGGGTTATGTTACCTCCTGCTTGTCCCTGTCTCTCCCATCTGCCAAGGGCTCAACTCAGCGGATTGTATGGACCTCACTGGGGAGGTTGGAAGACCCAAGACAGGTGCTGATTTCTGATACTTTTCTCCTTGCTGCAATGAAATGCCTAACAAAATCAATTCACAGAAAGGAAGGCTTGTTTGGCTCACAGTTTAAGAAACAACCTGTCAAGGCAGGAAAGGCATGGCGGCCGGAATGTCAGGTGGCTAGTCACATTGCGTCGGCAGTCAAGAGGCAGAAAGAGCTGATGCTGGTGCCGTGCTCATCTTCCTTTTATTCTCTCTGGGACCGCAGACCCTGGAGTCAGGCTGTTCACACACGGGTCTCCCTTTGCAGTTAGATCATTCTAGTATTGCCCTTACAGACTTGCTCAGGGTTTTGTTTCCATGGTGATTCTGAATCCCCTCAAGTTGACAATTTCACTGGGCTTCAAAAAAACAAGGCAATCGTTCTGACACTCCAAACACCTAAGAAGGTGGAGGAGGCAAGCTGGTGCAGGCTACTACCTCATCAGCACTCCTGGGCGGTGTGGAAGTAGAACTAAGTATCTCCACAGTGTCGGTACATACATTTATTTATGAGGTGCACAGAGATTTCATGATTTATGAATACAATGTAGGATAATTAAATCCAGTTCATTAACAGAGACATCACCTCAAACACCATTTTTACAGTGAAAACATTTGATATCCATTCTCTTATTACCTTTTAATATCTAATACCTCTTGTAGCATAAGGCCATGCTGTGCTGTCTAGCGCAACAGGAAAGAAATTATTCTTCCTTTTCCTGCCTAACTCAGCTTATACCATTTGGCCCTCATCTCCCTGCACCTACCCCTATGCCTCTGTGGCCACTGTCCTCCTCGCTGTTCCCATGAGCCTGATTGTTTAGCTCACACATGCAAGTGAGAACATGTGGTTTCTGTCTGCATGCACCTGGCTCATGTCGCCGAGCATACCGCCCTCTGACGTCATCCCTGCTGTCATAAATGGCATTTCCTTTCTTTAAAGGCTGAAAAATCCTGTGTTATATACATGCATAGCACCTTTTCTTTCTGCAGTCATCTGATGGGTGCATATATCGGCTCCAGAGTGCTCTGAAGTCTTCTTAAGAACTGCTCTGACTAGGGCTGCAGCCCACACTGGAGTCCGGGCATCTCTGCAACACACTGCTTCATAACTTCAGAAGGCTTAGGCTGGGTTAGATGGTCATTCTGCTTTAAGTTTGCAAG